CCATAAATCAATTTGGGGAAAATCATCTTCTAAGTATTGAGTCTTCTTATAAATGAAGGTGTATATCCCTCAATGAATTTAGGTTGTCTTAAATTTCTCTCACTCTTTAGTGGTTTTCTGTATAGAAGTCTTGTTCCCATTTAAATAGATTTAACCGTAGATATTTTATGAATTTTAATGATATTAAGTTGCTTTTTGTTTCATGTTCTAATTGTTAGTAGCAGATAGAAATATAACTGATTATTATATAACATCCTTAAAGCTAGTGGTCTTGTTAAATTCATTTCTTAATTCCAATATTTTATCTGAAGATATTTATTGATTTTTTTACGTGTATGATTATGTCATGTGCAAATAATGACAGTTTTTCCCCATCCAGTCATTACATGTTTTATCTACTTTTTCTTGGCTTAATTCATGAACTGAGACTTTCCAGACAATGTTAAATAGAGATGGTGGCAGTTAATACTCTTCCTTCACTCCCTGTCCTGGGAGCAAAGTACATGATACCTCACCATTACATGTGTGCTTAGGGTTTGCTTTTGCTTGTTTGTTTTAGTTTTTGCTATTTTAGATAGTGAAATTTCCTTCTATTCCTAGCTCACTAAGAGTTGTATTTTTTTCATCAATTTTATTGGTATATTTTAGGTATACAATATGCTTTCATTCATCATTGGGAATTTGTACCTTTACATTATATATCTTGGTTCTTATTTTTTCCCCATTCCCCTGCCCTCCCTTCAACCCCTCCCACCCCTCCCTATTTATAAAGACTTTGTTTCCAGTTTTTTTTCCTTATCTCATATTTATTCCTTTCCCTTCTTTCCTTTCCCCTACCCCTCCCACCTCCCCTTCCCCTTTGGACTTTTTCTTCCTATTTCACATTATCTATTATACATTTTGATCCTTATTTACACTTTCAGTTTCTCACACTAGAGAAACTATTTGATATTTACACGTGTGTCCTATTTACTTCAGAGTATCCCTTCAGTGTTCATCCATTTAGCTATAAATGTCTCTAGTTTCTGATTCTTTATGACTGAGTAGTACTCCATTTTTTTAAAAAAAAACACATCTTCTTTTATCTAGTCTCTAGTTAATGGGCAATTGGGCTGTTACAGCAGCACAATTTGTAAGAGCTAAGAGTTGTATTTTTAACTCTGAGTGTATCTTGAATTTCATTGAATATTATTCTGCATCTTTTGAAATAACTATGTGTTTTTCCTTATTCTGTTGATGTGGTGATTATGCTGATTGGTTTTCAAGGGTTAAACCAACCTTGCTGAACTGGATGAAGCCACACTTGACCATATCTTTACTGGAATCATTGAATCCAGTTGGCTGGTATGTTTAGAATATCTGCATCTATGTTCATAGGAAAGATTGACCTTGTTTTTTCTTTTCTGAAATATCCTTGTCATACTTTGATATCAAGGTTATACTGCCTCATAGCAATGCTCTAAGAAGAGCTGTATAAAAATTAATATTATTCTTTCCTTAGATGTTTGGAAGAACTTACCGGTGAAGTCATCTAGACTTTGAGTTCTCTTTGTGCAAATATCATTACAATTCCAAGTTTAATTTAATTAATATTGGGAAATAGGTATTTTTACTTTTTGCTTTCTTTTATATATTGTGGTTTTTTATTACTTATGTATCTTATCAAATTATTTTGTTCATATTGTCTATTGAATAGACTGTTTAAATATCTCTAGACCCATAGTGCTGTTCAATTTGTAATTCCTGACATTGGTGATTTGTGACCCTCTCCCTCTCCAATCAATCTTGCTAAAAGTTTATTAATTTTATATGTCTCTTTAGAAAATGCAATGTTGGCATTATTGATTTTCCTTAATATGCTGGGGGGTTTTTTTCAACATATGCTTTCATTATCTCTTTCCTTCTACTCTCTTTGGATTTACGTTTGTTATCTTTTTTTAACTTCTTGAGATGAATTTTAGTCAGCCCCTTCTGCTCTCTAGTAAATGCATTTAAGGCTATAATTTTTCCTCCCTGCACATATTTCACTGTACCTCAAACACCTATTTAGTTATAACTTTTGATATGTAACTTTTTTTATTATTCCATTAAAGGTATTTTCTGTTTCATATCAGATTTCTTTATTTGGCCCTTGGGTTAGATTAATTTCTAAAATATTTTTGGATTTCATATGTATCTACATGTATATGTGTGTACATGTGTATCTATATATGTATGCATGTATGCATATCATATGTGTGTATAAAATTTATTTTTACTTTAATTTCACTATGGTAACAGAATATATGAAACATTATTTAATTTATGAAGTTTGTTGGGACCTGCTTTTCAAGCCTTGCATTTGTTCTCTTGGTAAGCTCTCTGCATACACCTGGAAAGCTAACCTGATCTTCAGTGTGTGGGGCACTGTTCTGTACATGTCAGGTCAGGTTGCTACTCATGTTGTTCACATTTGTCTCTGCTGATGCTCTGGCTGCTTCTCTATTGGTTTCTGATGAAATCTTCAATTATCCCACCATAGTTATATATTTTCCCTTTTGCCAGTTTGCTTTATATGTTTTTTATTTTTTATTTTATTGTGGTACTGGGGATTGAACTCAAGCAATGCAAGCACTCCACCACTGAGCTACTTCTCCAGACTGCTTTATATGTTTTAAGATTATATTTGTAGGTGCATAAAGATTTAGAATTGATTTTCTGCTGAATTGACACTTTATAGTTATGAAATATTATTGTATCTATTTATCATGATCATTTTAAAGTTCTTATATAAAATGCTGGAGCAAACCACAACCACCTATTTGCTCATGTGTCCGTGGGTCAGCAATATGGGCTGCTGTGCTGGGTGGGCTCACTTGGGCTGACCTATGCAGCAGTGCTCATATGACAGCTTTGTGATGGCTGGGTAGTCTCAGCTTCACATGTCTGGAGCTGTCGGCTGGCAGCCAGAGTACCTCAGCTCTCTGTCACCTAGCTTTTCCAGCAGGCTAGCTCAGACGAGTTCCATGAGGCAGCAACATTCTAAGAGGGTAAAAGTGAAACCACAAGGTTTCAGGATTCAGAACACATGGTCCAGTTCCACCATAGTGGAAATGACTCTACTCCTCAAAAAGAGGAGCTACAAAGGATTTGCACCCATCTTAACCCACCATAACCTGCCCTTTGCCATAATCTTTCCTATCACTCTCCCCTTATGCAAAGTGTACTCACCCCCACAAGACACCAAAAAGTCACCTAATTGCAGATAGCATCATGCTCAAAATCCAGTATCTCATGATTTGTGTTCTCACACAATGCCTAGTCCCAAATCAGTGCCATGTGTTTTAGGAGACTGATGTCACACTGCCCCACCTTTGATGCTTAATTTCTTTATCAGTTACCTATTGCTGCAGAGAAAACCACAGCTAAATTTAGTGGCTTAACACATTGTCTTCACTTACAGTGTTGTGGTCAGGAATTTGGCCTTGGTCCAGCTGGGAAATAGATCTGCCAGCTTTGCTTGGAATGGCTCAGGCAGCTTACTCAGGGTTGGGGGACTAGGAAAACCTTACTCATTTGTCTGTGGGTTGGTGTTTACTACTGGATGAGGTACCCCAATTCCCCTCCATGTGGCCCCTCCACTCCATGGGCTCAGTTTTGTTCATGTGGTCACACTCTAGGAGCACATGAGTTATATTTGTGGAAGCTCCCTAGTGTTGTAAATCAGTCACCTTAGATCATAAGATCAGGCCAAATTCAAGAGGCCCCATCTCTTGATGGGAAGTGTGACAGGTATTTATGACTACTGAGTGTGCCACACCATTAGCTCTGTTTCTAGGGACTGTTTTTTCCCTTGGATTTTAGTCTTTGTATGTGGGAAAAAAATTTAGAGGCTCAAAGCTATTATCTTTCTGTTACAAGTAGGATTTTCTTCTAGTGTGCAAAATAATCATAGGAAGGACAGCTTACTGAAGTCAAGGTTTGAGACTACAAGAATCTCAACCAAAAACTTGGGATGTTTATGAGCCCGCATCCTAGGTAGATCAAACCCCCAAGGCTGCTTTCCTCAGGGTTATGAGCCGGCTGAGTTATCTGCTTCATTTTTTACCCTCCTGGCAGCTGCCTCTGCTCTGTACTCAAACCTCACCATCTGTACAGCTTGGCAACCCACAGATGCTTCTGGGGAAACACTGTTCCATGGCCCCCTGCTCACCAGGGGCTTGTTTCTGGTATTCATGTCCCACACAATATTCTGCAGAGGGAACACAGACTGCAGTGTGTATTTGTGTCCACTCTGTCTGGAGCATATCCTTCAGTCTGTCCCCTCGACCTTTCCAGCAGGGTCTGTTGTCACCATTGATGATGACCACAGTTGTCACAGGAATCTCCAGTGGGAGGGTTGGTCTGTGTGAGTTTCATAGGCAGAGGAACACTCCTACATTTTCCACATAGTCACATTTACTTCCACTCTTGTTTCTATGCGTATAGATACCAAATCTCATTTACATTGTCAGTGATATTTCTTGAAGGACCTTTGTTTCTAGAAGGCACTTTAGAGACAAACCCATGCAGTATTTTGAGCAAAACTCAAATTCCCTTGATAACTTGTCTTGCACCCCAGGCTTCTCCAAGTGCTTGCACCTCACCCACTCCATTGACCCAAGAGGAACCTGAAGGCCCTCAGTAAAGGCATTTGCCCTGACTGCCATGAGTTAGAGGCACAGCCCTTATAGACCAAGGACCTAGACTCTCTTTTCCTATTCTGAGTAAGAAAAATAAGGAAAGGATCCTTTTCCCCATCCATGGGTAGGGCAAACCTTTCACTTGTAAAATCCCCTTATCCCTAGCTTCCCTGGATCCCCACCAGGACAGGGTCTTACAGAATTCCATCCCACTGAGGCCAACCATACTTATTCGCAAAGGGTTCCATCCACCCACAGCAAGGGCACCAGAACCTCTGACAGTGTGGCAGAGATGGCAGACACATGTAGCCACTCACACCTTCATCTTCTTCACTGCAGGCTGCGAGAGCATCACCGGGCCACCATCAAAGTCATCCGGCGCATGCAGTACTTTGTGGCCAAGAAGAAATTCCAGGTGAGTCCTGGAAGAATCCATCCATACTCCCATGCCCCCTTGCAACTCCTGTGGAACCTCAAGCCCTTTGGGCTTCCCTGCCCAGGAGGGAGACTACTCAGGCAGACCTGTCCAGGATCAGCCCCTCACCTTCAGACATCCCTTGAAGACTTCAGTGTTGTTCCTAGGAAGCCTCCTCTTCCCAAGAGAGCAAGCCTCTCAGAGGACACTTCCCTGAGGCCCAGACTAAGCACTCTTCCTCCTCACTAATCAAGAGGCAGCAGTCTCATGGGCTTCCCCTACCCTCCCATGGGTCACACAACCTTGCATCAGTGAGAGATGAACAGATGCCTTCAGAGTGACCGGAGAGTGACCCAAGTCACTTGGGGAAGGAAGTGAAGCACAGTGCTCTTTCCCTCCATTCCCTTATCTCCAGTCCATGTGGTCAGGAGAGGGGAGGAGTCTCCTGGCTGGGAAGGGCTGTAGCTCTGGGCTTCCAGTAGCCATCAGCAGCCCTCTAGAGTAGATCTCCTGACCCCCCAACATCCAAAGCCTGTAAAAGATGGCCTTGGTGGCAGGCAGGGCTCCTCTCTCCTGCAGGCACAGTCCTGGTATGGAGGCCATGGGGAGGGAGAGGCTGCGTCTTCACTTTGAGAGCAGTATGTAGCTGTGGGAAACAGGCACCCTTAGGGAGTCATTCTCTTTCTAGAAGACCCTCATCATCAACGTGGGAGATGACCTAACTGAGTTCCTCAACAGTTATATGGTGGCCTTGCACCCAGCTCCAGGCCATGCCTTCTGTACCAGGCTGTGAGGTTGAAACAGGCTGGCTGATGGTCCCCTCAGTAGAGCCCAACCTGGGCCCTGGGCCAGCCACCCACAGCCTCTAGAATCCTTGGGCATTTTGGACCCAGGACTCCCCAGGCAACCCTGAGTGAGTTCATCCCCATCTGTACTGACAGCAGGAGCCCAAGGCACTGGCACCACTGTATGCACATACGTCTAACCTGTCCTTGCTCATGACAGTCCCGTGCTGCAGCACCTGCCACCACTCTCACTATCACAAGCCCTGAGGATAGACCCTGAATAGGCCTAGTGCTTGCCCACTGCTGAGCTCCTTCCACTAGCAAGAGCACGTAGCCTCTGTCTGGTCACCACCTCAAAGGTCAGATAACACATAGCAGTACTGTAGTGGCTATTAGGACTCAGCTGGGCCACACTGCCCACGTTCCCATTGGCCCTGGGGCTGTTCTTTGTGGAAACAAATAAAAGCTCCTCTCAGCTGCCACCAGGAAGTCTGCCCAGTGACGTCCTGGGAACATCTGGTAAAATCGTAGACAGGGTATCTGGACACCGTGCCCCCCACCCCCAGCCAGTGTGGAGCTTCTACCTGTCACTGTGGCTGCTGGGGTGAGAGTTGAAGAACATGGGGGCTGCCTGCTGGCTGCACCAGCACCTCCCGGGTGGGGAAGAGGCTTCACCCCTTCTGGGGTTAAGCATGGCAGGGCTGTCCCCAAGGGCAAAGAACCTGGTATGTTTCCCTCACTGAGGAGCAGCTTGACAGTGACAGCTGAGAGTCATAAGAGATCTCCAGGGTCATGGCCATCCCCAACCTGAGGCAGTGGATCCCTGTGGGCACAGAGCAGCACCCCTGGCATGGACCAACCTGAAACTTGCTCAGACTTGTAGGACTGTGATGGGGTGGATGTTGGTCTCCCTGGGAGTTGCTTCTAGGGTGCCGGGACACCTAGCCAAAGATAGAGACCCTCGTGTTTCCCACTTCAGGTCAAGAGGTCAACCACAGTAACCCATGTGGACCTGTCACTATGACATAGGCAAGAAAACTGCCTGCTGGCATGGGTACAAGTTCTGGAGGAACAGACTTCCAGGCTAGTGTTCCTTGTTTTGCTATAGGCCTGACAGTAGCCCGGGAAGTTTCCAGAGCAGGCCAGGAACGCCTACCTCCCCACCCTGCATCTCCCCTGTATCCCAGCCCTTGGGGAATCTTGAATAAACCAGGCAGCAGATGACCTTTTGGGGACAGAGGATCCTGAGCAAAGATGGAAGCTGGGGCTCCCTCAAAGAACTGGATCTTGTTGCCTGGGGGTACGTGCAGGGGTAGGAAGCAGGAGGCCACTAGAAAGCAGGAACAAGAGGGGTGAGGAGGGAGCTCTTGTCAGGGAAGGGTTTTGTGGGGCCCCAGCTCTCAGGACATCCTCTGAGAGCCTGTCTGTCCACCTTTACCCCACCCACCCCAGCTAGCCTTGGGCTGCCAGCATGGTGTGTGGTCCCCCTTCCTACCTCGCTGGCAGATAAGTCCCAGGCCCATATTCCTGTGTCTAGCCCAAGGAGCCAGAGCCTCTTAAGCCTTTAAATTTGTCTTGAATACCCCCATCCACCGTCAATCAGGCTGGATAGGCTGTCTTATCTCTGCAGCAGGGACATTAGCTCTAGAGAGAAAGCCAAGGTGGTCTTTCCAGCCAGGCCCCAGGCAGCCACTTCACTGAGGCTTCACAAGCCTTGACCAGACCCTGACAGGGAACTGGGTGAATCCAAAATAATCTCAACAACCTGGATGTTATAGGGAGTCAATGGGGAACCTTTGCCCTTCCTGGCCTTCGCCCTGCCCACCCCTCCCCCATTCCTGCAGAAATACCCTCTCTCACATAAGGCATACTAAATCACATGTTGGCAGAGACCTCTAACACACATGCCCACACATGCCTGGATACAGTGGCTCCTGGCTCCCAGGCTGTCCACTCCAGCCCAGGTCTGTACCACCTCAAGCCCTGGCCCAGCTTGGTCCCCTGCCTCCCTCCCTCACCTACCCCATGCCTCACCTTGAGCTCCCCATCAGAAGGCAGTGACCCCAGCTCATCACTGATGGGGCTGAGTGGCAAAGAGACCTCCTGGGCCCAACCTGGCCTTCCATGGTCCCTCAGGGCAGAGCACTCTGCTCTCCCCATGGCTCCCAGACCATCAAATGCTGCTCAGCCTGGCTGCTACTCCCTGAGTGAGATTCTCACTTGAGGCCACTGAGAACAAGGCCTTAGGAGAAGCAGGCTGATGGTGAAAAGCTTCATGTTCTCTATTGTGGTCTCTGCTGATGTCACCACCTGGACCTGCGGCCCACTAATGGGATCAGAGCTGGTGCAAGGCCTGGGAGTCCTGTGGTCACCTGCCCTGCCCCACATGGTCCCAGGCCTGCTGTGGGAGCCCGAGCAGGTGTCTACTACCTCCCCACTCCGCAGATGTTAGGGATTGCTGCCCAGGAGTATGTCCAGGATCAGCCGGAGATACAAGCAGACAGGGGCTGTGCAGAACTATACCTCCTAGCCCACTGGGTCATCTCTTCCTGAGGCTGAGACTGAGAGTCTAGTAGCCTGGAAGGAGAGCAGCAGATTCTGGTGGTGATATGACAGGAAGCTGAGCTCAGCAAGACAAGATGACTGCCAGAGCTCCCCAGAGATCAAACTGACACTTCAGAGACCCCAGAAACTGAGCCAATGGCCAGGGGCCCACAGAGGGTGACCTGACAGTCCAGGGCCCCAGAGGCCAACCTGATGGCTTATGGGACCCCTAGAGGCTGAGCTGATGGCCCAGCGCCTCCAAGAGGCTCAGCTGATGGTCAGGGACATCCAGCCTGTAGTAGCAAAGCCATGGGAACAAGCCCTGCTGTGCACATGCTCTGGGCCAGGCCTGCCCTATCACGGTCCCCATCACTGTCTGCATTTAAAGCTGAGCCTGCAGAACACAGGGGGAGTGACACGTGTCTTTTTGGCCCGCAGCAAGCCCGGAAGCCCTACGATGTGCGGGATGTCATCGAGCAGTACTCACAGGGACACCTCAACCTCATGGTGCGAATCAAAGAGCTGCAGCGAAGGTGAGCACAAGTGGGGTGTGGAGACATGGTCACCTGGGGGCCACCATGGCATATTCACTCCACCTGGCCCTGCTCCACCCTCACAATGAGCAGTGTCTGCTCCAGACACTTTCCCTGTTGAGGGAAAGAAGGAAACTTGAATTGTCCCCAGAACCTTGAGTCTAGCCCCTGGGTCTTTCCCATCCAGGGGTCTGACCCCCTATAGCTCTGCCCACTGCTAAGTCTATAGCTGCAGACTGACCATTGGGAACCAGCATGTTCTAGAATTCTACCTTGGATCCTTGTTCCCATGAAAATGGCCTAGTCCTTTGGATCCCAGCACAGGCTTAGCTCAGCTGTACTTCATGGTGGACTAGCCTGGGAACCTAGCTCTGTGTGTTACAGGATACCAGTCTTAGCCACAAGTGAGGACAGGCATTTAGGGCCTCCTCCATGGCTGACCCTACTTGCCCCACCCAGCGAGGAAGTCTAAGTGATGACCCAGCTGCTGCTACCCCTCATCCCTGAGCTTCCTGCTGGCCCTTTCAGGAGCATGAGCTCCTCTGGCCCAGGAGCCTCCTGCAGGTCCTGAGGGACAGTGCTGTGTGGCCACCAAGTGGATGGGCACATCAGCCTGTCTAGTGGTGCTTGGGGCTGAGTGTGAGCTTCTCTCCATCCCCTTCCCTTTCAGGTTGGACCAGTCCATCGGGAAGCCCTCCCTGTTCATCCCCATCTCAGGTGTGTTCTGCCCAGGGGCTGGAGGTGACAGTCATGCCAGCCTCTCTCACCCCTTTCCTCTTCTCAGCATCAGAGCAGGCCTTCAGGCCTCTACAGTATATGACATGAAGCAAAAGTCAGGCAGGGGGCAGCTACCCTGAAGAAGGACACTGGGGTCATACTTTACCAAGAAATTTGCAGGTTGTGTAAGGATCTGCTTTAGTCTCTAAATGACAAATTTCTGGCATGGAAGTCAGGCTGTGGGTATGGAAGTATGGCCTAAGGGCTACTTTTTAGGAGAGGGTCCTGTTGGTGGAGGGCCCTGGGCTGGGGTCTAGGTGGGATGAGCAGCCAACTCAGCTCTCAAGCTATTGGCGTGGACTCCAGTTTGGAGGAGGCAGCACTGCGTACGCCAGTTTTCTGGCTTAGCCCAACTCTTCAGGTCCTCTAGGCAGAGTTGGAGTCATGCCAGGAAAGGATGGGGGAGGTTTGTTCTTTGGAGGACCCTGGCCAAGGTTCTCATAGAACCTCCCAGCACAGGCTGATGTGGCAGGGCTGCTGGCCAGCAGGATTCCCTGGCCTGGCACAAGGCCCAGCGTCATGAATCTGCACAGCAGGCAGCTCTGGGCCAGGTGTGTCCCACCCCATCTGACACCTCTGAGGGGCCCTCAGAGGTCTCACGGCTGGGGACACAGACAGAGCCCAGGTCCACACTGCCCCTCCCAATGCACTAAGTCCTAATGTTCCCTCCAGAGGAGCACTTTAAAAGATGGCCTTAATGGGCGTGGTGGCACACACCTGTAATTCCGGCACTCTGGGAGGCTAAGGCAAGAGGGTCAAAAGTTTGACCCCAGCCTGGGCAACTCAGCAAGACCCTGTTTCAGAATTTGAAATATTCAAAAATGGCCTGGCATGTAGCTCAGTGGGAAGGACCTGGATTCCCCAGGTCCAGAAAAATCCCCAGTATCAGAAAAAGAGAAGAAGATGGCG